GTGGTGGGGGGCAGGGCGGTTGCGAGGTCAGAGGAGGGGAGAGTTGAGGGAGTTATCGTGGGAGTGAGGCTAGGCGGGGAGGTAGATTGAGCATTGGCGAGGTCTTTACGGATTGGTCGATCTTGTTTTGGAAATGATTGGCAATCTCGTGGGCGGTGAGTGAGGTACTAGGTGGAGGTGGGGGGGGGGGGGGGAGAAGAGAGTAGGGAGTTGAAAGTGGAGAAGAGCCGGCAAGGACAGGTGGAGAGGGTGTTGATGAGGGTTACGAGGTAGGCTTGTTTGACGGCGTGGAGGGAGGAGATGTAGGTGAGGAAGGTGGATTTGTAGAGAGAGAATGCTCGTGGGGATCTGGTTTTGCGCCATAATTGCTCCAGCGCGCGACTGCGTCATTTAAGATTTTTAGTGTGGTCGTTCTGCCAGGGTTGAAGCGGTTGAGGTCTAATGCTGCGTGTGGTTAGGGGTGCTAAGGAGTCTAAGGCAGCTGACAGCTAGTCGTTATACGCAGTAGTGGCCAGATCAGGGCATGACAGTGGAAGGATACTGTCGTACAGACGGTCAGCTGCAGAGTGGAGAGGGGCCGGGTTCAGGTTGCGGAGGTTACGGCTGGTGATGGTTTGACGTTTGGGGGGGGGGAGGTGATAGAGGACGGGGAGATGGAGAACGTAATGAGGTTGTGGTCAGAGAGAGGGAAAGGGGTGTTTGTGAGGTTGTGGAGGGTGCAGAGGTGAGTGAAATTTTCCACATTTTGTCATGTGGACCTCGTTTTCTAGCGTATGAATACTTTTTCAAGGCACTGTATTTAACAGCTTTGGTAGAATATTAATTTTTTTTTATTATAGCTGCTCTACTGAACCAGGAGAATTAATTTTTTCCCAGGTCTTTAAAGATGAGCTCAGGGAAAAAATGAATGGGGGAGAAATTGAGCAGAAATTGAGGTAGATAAATCATGAGGTACTTAATAGACCTTGAGGCCCAAGTAAATGGGAAGTTGAGTAGTTAGCAATATAATAGAATTCTTCCAAGGCTTTGTGCAAGTTGTAAATAGAGATTAAGGGTTGGGTACTGAAAATAATGCTAGAAACACATGTAAAGTTTTGGGGTTTTTTTTTTGTTCAACCTAGAAGGCTGAACGAAAAAAAATCTGAGGAGGTTGCCATTCTATGTGATGTTAGTGCAGCGATCTCCCCTGTTGGGCTACTGTGTTTTAACTGCCCCCGCCATTGGCTGCAAACGCTGATCGGATGCTAGCTTAAATCATCTCCATATTTCTTTGGCTGGAGATGGAATGCAATGGATGTCAGGGGACAAGGGGCACCCCTGCCTGATGACACAGAGTACGGAGAAGGCATCTGATAGATGGACATTAATTCATACCCTGGTTGTTGGGTTTGTGTGCAGAATGCCAATATGTGAGCATTTTGGCTTGCAAATCTAAATGTTGTAAAGTCTAATCTATTGAACGCCTTCTCTGCACCAATAGAGAGGAAAAAGATGGGTATGCCCTTGGTGGATGCCCGGTAAGTAAGATTAATAGTCTAATACTATCCCTTTACTCCCAACTTGGGACAAAGTGAACTTGGTTGAGAGATCCTTTTGGCTGGAGCAGAGGTAACAGTCTAAAACATACAAAAAATAGATGGCTTAATCACAGGTGCTCTGGCTGAGGCAGCTGACTCCTCATTCACACGATCAATTCAAGCAAAGAAAAGCCGGCACTCCAGTGTATGTTCTGAAATCTTGTATTTACATTACCTTAGAAAAGTATTCATACTGCTTGAAATTTTCCACATTTTGTCATGTTACAACCAAAAACGTAAATGTATATTATTGGGATTTTATGTGATAGACCAAACACAAAAAGTGGCACAATAGTGAAGTGGAAGGAAAATGATAAATGGTTTTCAAATTTTTTTACAAATAAATATCTTAAAAGTATGGCGTGCATTTGTATTCAGCCCCCTTTAGTCTGATACCCCTAACTAAAATTTTATGGAACCAATTGCTTTCAGAAGTCACCTGTATGTAACTTATACAAGATTGCACAGCATACACCAGAGTGCTGACTTTTCTTTGCTTGAATTGATCGAGATGTAACAGTACATTGTCTAGAATCTTGGCAAGGAGTTTCACTTCCTCGTTTAATAAACAAATTGGTCAATATCTTAAACAGAGAGTAAGAACTTTGTCTTCTTTTAGTAAACCTGAGATGTGAGCTAACAATAAGTGTCTGGCAGGGTGAGGAGTGTATAGGTAGGTCAAATGCTGCTATGAATTACAGTAGAAGGATGCCTGCAAAGGTCTTGTAGTCGTAAGGGGGGGGGGGGGGGTAATAAGGGCCTGGGATTTTCCTTACTTTGATTTGCAAGAATAGATTACCCCATCCACGCAACACATCGCTCTGCCATTGTATTCTGACAGTAGGGACTCCTTCACATTCAAATACACTGACCATTGCTGTAGCTGACTGGCTGAAGGTGTTGACTGAGTGAAATTTTCTAACAGTCATGTTCAGTTGATCATTAGATTGACTTAGTCTGAGTGGAAATGACCATAGAAGGATCAAAATTTGACTACTCCCTGCTAAACCAGCCAGAATTTCAATCCATCTATGGCAAGCTTAGGATTTTCCCTGACAAACTATTACAAGCACGAAAGTACCAAATGACCAAAGCACAATGACATTAAAATATTTAGGCTCTGTGGATTTTGCATACGTTGTTCTTTGCAAGTTTTTGCTCTATAGCTTCTGGCAAAATGCCTGAAAATCCCAGAAAAACTTTGCCTCTTTATACATTCTAAGGCTTGTACTTACGCAGCTGGAAAGAATTTTATTGTAAACCGTTGCTCTCTATTGTTTGTAGTGAAACTACACATTTCAGCACCTTTTCCGGCGTTACAAAAGAAAAGCAAAAAAAAAAAAAAAAACTGATGCAACAATGATGCCTTTATCCATGGTAAACAATCACATTCTTCATGAAACCTGACTGTGTGATTCAGCCCCTATGACTGGAAGTTTATGCTGTGACTCTTCCAACAACTGGTTCTTCAACTCCAGGACAGACACAGTGCTGACAAAGTGCTGCCACATATAGAGACACGTACATATACTGGATTCCAGTAAATTGTGGCAGAGAGAGGATGGGTGGATCGTCTAGGTCAGTGGTGTCAAACTACATTTCATCGCGGGCCGTATCAGCATTATGGTTGCCCTCAAAGGGCCAGTTGCATCTGAGAGGCTAGATGTCCACAGCACCCCATCCCCCCCATTAGATGTCAAGAATTCCACATCCTTCCTAACATCAACATGCACCCCCTTTGGAGGCAGAGCTGCAAAGCAGAAAGTGCAGGGTCTGGAGGAGGACCAGGAGTCAGTTACCAGAGTCTACTGAATGCTGAGACCAGGGAGGCAGAGATGAGGGGGTGCTACAGCTGCACTGAGAAGCGCAGGATTCGGCAGAGGCGTTTTATTCTCCTATCTGCTGCTGACTGCAGAGACAAGGTGGGGGCGGAGACAAAAGGGTACCTGCAGGAGTGGTGCAAGAGCCACATGAAATGGCCTGGAGGGCCAGATTCAGCCTGTGGGCCTTGTATTTGACACATGTGGTCTAGGTGGTTGGAGCTGAAGTGGGAGTGGGTACATGGCAAAACCAAGTACCCGCTCCACCCCCCCCACCCCCTCAAAAAGTGCCATTACATAAAGAGGAGGGGAGATGGAGGCCTTATTTAGAGCTTCCCTTTTTGAGTGGAGCTCCACTTTAGTAAGGGAGATTTAGGCCTCATTCACATTGGTACTCCAGCAATTAGGTTTTCCAAATGTAGGATAAGCTATCTGGGAAGTGTAAACAACTTTTATACCTCCCAGATCACCTTTTCCTGCATTTAGATCAGGATCTCCCTGGTTTACAGCAAGTTTTGATTGGTTTAGTCATGTGCACATGCCTGAGTATTAGCGGTGTTTCTAGTTGGAGCCTGGATGCACAAAATTCTAAAGCCTCTAAAAACGTAGCTAAACTGACCACACCTAATCTCAGGTAAATGCCCAGTATGAATGGTGCCATTAAAAAATCATGTGCATTTATGTGTGTTCAGCAATGACGTCTAAATGCATATAAAAATGCAGATTTTTTTTACGGAGTCAGTGTGAATGAGGCCCTACAGTCACAAAAAGGTTTTTCCAAGCCACTAGTGCACTTAGTTTTTCTATTTGTGCTTTCTCCTATAAAGTATGTGAATAATAACAGCCGAAGTAAAAGCATATTGTTCACAACAATTTGTACATTTCTGTTTCCAATGTCAGCAAACAAACTAGAGAGAAGTTTTTCTTAAATAAATAGACAGATGGTGGAAGTGGATTAACCATGACAGTCAGGGCAGGTGTATACAAGGAATAACAACTGGGGTGGTGGAGCACTAAATACGCTATCTATAGTTCTGATTAGTGACGGAAGATCAGTGGTATATGCACATTGCATACAATGTGTTTACTATAAAAAGACAAATACAATGTCTGGCAGCTGCTAGGTGGAAATAGGCTAATGATTTGGAAACCAGAATTTCACGAAAACTATGGGAGTGCCAATAAAATAATACATTCTAGTGTGATTTACAAACAGCCTACAGTATAATACACTATCCAGGTCACTAATTCCTGACTCTTCCATCAAGGAATGCAGTAAGCCAAAAAACATGATACAACTAATATCTTCTCAAATGTGTTTTTACTTTGATAGACCATGGCTCTTTTTAACAAGATCAAGGCCTTCTGGTTCAATTCTAAATCAGGACTATTGGGGACTATATATACTTTCACTGTACTAGTTCAGAAAGAATGCAAACTACAATTGCTACAAATCTCTCCAAAAATGATTGTGGAAAATGTAATAAAAATATGATACAAGCTATAGATACAAATATCAATACATTATGAAAAATATTAAAAACATAAATTACACAGAAGAATGAATTAGTCATCTAATAAATGAAAAATCTACAATATCTACCTGTCTACATATCTTCTGGCCTCCACATTGTCCAGTGCATTCACAATGACGTCTTGTCTGAGGTAAAACTCATCTCTATAGGTATTCTCTGTGGCAGGACACACCTTATCCAGTCGCGGATCTATTTTCAACTCAGGGTTGATGTTTATGGTTGCAGCAGCAGCAGTACAACTTTTAGGTTTCTAGTAAGGTGGGAAAAAAATATAACAAAGATTTTATATTCAGTTACTATGCGCAAAATCTATTTTATAGAAGGTGGCGCAGCTCTTTACATTATATATTCTGCATTCACATCAGTCCCTACCCTTAAGGAGTCACATCAGTCCCTACCCTCAAGTTCTCTAACTCCCATTCATGTATACACATACTAGGGCCAATTTAGACAGGATCCAATTGACCAACCAGCATGTCTTTGGAGTGTGTACCCGGAAGAAAACCACGCAGGCACAGGGATTCGAACCAACGATTTTTTAATACTTCTCTTTTTGTGAAGTCTTAGGCTGCATTCACACCTGCACATTGTGCATATGGTTTTTTTTTTTTCACACTCTGAGTGTTTGTTGTGCGACAGCACAGGGCAGCCCATTCACTTGCATGGGCTGCCCTACACGAAACAAAAACATACTGAAGTAGCCCTTGCATCTTTTTTGTATGGTGTTACATGTCTGCTAGCTGCATTTGGGATACCATTAAAGATTTAATAGTGCTAGAAGTGTGATGCTCGTTTCTCAAGCGCTCAGGTGTGACTGGGGCCTTTAGGATAGTCATGTAATATACAGGGTCCTTTTTTTCTTAAAATGTGCCCCTGAGGTGGGCAATCCTAGATAATGCATCATTATTCTGTTAATAAAGGGGCATGCCTTCACCCAAGGGGGGGTGATATGGCCATATCGCCCTGCATTTATTTTATCTCCTAAATCTTTTTAATTTTCTTTGTTGAGTGACACTGACTCTGAAAAATACCCATGTGAGTATTTAAAAAGACAACAACAATGCCTCTATCAAGACTAAAAAGCTAAGACGCTCCATCACAGCACGATTTATACCTTCCACCATTTTCCATCTTCTACTGCTTGCGCAGTAACGTGCATCAAGGGCAGCCCCTACTTTAACGTTCAGCATAATAGTGCAGATAAAAAAAGAAGCAGGCCACAATATAACAACTATGGGGTTGATTTACTAAAAGCAAACAGACTGTGCACTTTGCAAAGTTGCAGCTGGAAGTCAGTAAAACATCTGTTCATTTACTAAGCTCTGGAGCAACTGCTCTTGCAACTGCAAAGTTCACAGTTTATTCACCTTTAGTAAATCAACCCCTATGTCAATAATAATATAAGCAAAACATGGAAGTTCCAAAGCAAGTAGCCATACTAGATGCAAAATTCTTCTACAAACAGAACTTATTTTTAGGACAGCAATAGCCATTAACTAAATTTATCTTACATTCCCAATAACCCTTTGGTGGCCAGAGGTCACTGAAGCCTAGACACCCACATCATATTTAGTAGTTTACATAGGAATTGGTTAACTTGACAAGATCTCTGCATAAATTTTCCTACCCAATTTCTTTTTTGTATAGAATATCTGGACCCTGTAGGAGAGATTTCCATCATTTTCTGTCCTCATAGCAGCTATTGCTGGGACAGAAGAGAAGTAATTCTAGCCAACCTGGTACACACACCATCCTAACAGAAGTTCTAACTATTCTTCATTCTGAAAAGTGGTTTTATTGCTATGTAATCTTTGGATTACCCTTGACTGCAAAGAACTAAAGAGCGATTGCCTACAGAAGAACTGGCTGCTGGGAAAAGGAAAATAAACCAATTAAAAATTAGCTAAAGCCTTCTGATTGGACACTCAACAGCCTCAAAAAGGCACAAAATACCTGGTCATGAAGAGATAAAAAGTGCAAAAATTGTCAGGAAATACTGAAAGTATTCTGACCCTCTTCACTTGTATCAATTTTGTTATGTTGCAGCCTGATACTATTGTTGTTTAAATACATTTTTTTTCTCATTAGTCTACACTCAGTATCCCATAATGACAAAGTGAAAACAGAATTTTAGACAAGTTTGCAAATTTATGGAAAAAGGAAAAAAAAACTGAAATATCACACTGGCATAAGTATCCCGAACCTTTGCAACAACACTTGAAACTTAGCTCAGGTGCCTCCCATTTCTCTTGATCGTTGCTTAGGTGTTTCTACGCTTTGACTGGAGTCTACCGGTGGTAAATTAAACTGATTAAACATTATTTGGAAAAGTACACACCTCTAAAAAAAAGACCTCACAACTGGCAATGCATATCAGAGAGAAAGCCATGAGGTCAAAAGGAACTGCCTGCAGAACTCAAAGACAGGATTATTGTAAGGCACAGATCTGGGGAAAGCAAAAAAAAATAAAAAAATTCTGCTGCACTGAATGTTTGCAAGAGCACAGTGGCCTTCATAATTCTCAAATGGAAGACATTTGGCACAACCAGGACTCTTCCAAGAGCGGGTCATCTGACCAAACTGAGCAATCTGGGGAGAAGGGACTTCGTAAGGGAGGTGACCAAGAATCCGATGGCCACTCTGACTAAGCTCCAGAGATCCTGTGAGGAGATGGGACAAAATTCCAGAAGGACAGCCATCACTTCAGCCCTCCACTGATCTGGACTCAATGGCAGAGTGACGAAAAGGAAGCCTCTCCTCAGTGCAAACTCCAAGCGGATGTGTTTTCCACTGGAGGAGAGGCTTCCGTCTAACCACTCTGTCAAAAAGCCTTGATCGGTGGAGGGCTGCAGTGATGGTTGTCCTTCTGGAACTTTGTTCCATCTTCACATAGGATTTCTGGAGCTCAGTCAGAGTGACCATTGGGTTCTTGGTCACCTCTCTTACGAAGGCCCTTCTTCCTCGATAGCTCAGTTTGGCCAGGTGACCAGCTCTAGGAAGAGTCCCAGTGTTGATAAACTTCTTCCATTTGAGAATTATGGAGACAACTATGCTCTTGGGAATCTTCAGTGCAGCAGAATTTTTATCACAGCCTTCCCCAGATCTGTGCCTTGCAATAATCCTGTCTTTGAACTCTGCAGACAGTTCCTTTGACCTCATGGCCTTTGCTCTGATACAGTAGATTGTCACTTGTGCGGAATTTTGTAAAGAGGAGTGCGCCTTTCAAGATCATGTCCAATCAATTTAATTTACTATAGGTGGACTCCAATCATGGTGTAGAAACATCTCAGCAATGATCAAGAGAAATGGGGGGCACCCAAGCTAAATTTCAAGTGTTGCTGCAAAGGGCCAGAATACTTATGCCATTGGGATATTTCAGTTTTTCCTTTTTCATAAATTTACAAACATTACAAAACTTCTGTTGTCACTTTGTCATTAAGGGGTACAGAGTGTAGATTAATGAGAATATAGTGAATTTAAAACTATAGTATCAGGATGTAACAGAATAAAACTGAAAAAAAGTGAAGGGATTTGAACACTTTATGAATGCATTGTACATTGTCAGTAAATCCATATAATCAAGCTGTAAAGTGTATTTATCGGTTTGCCTTGAGTTCAGTACATCCAGCATGAAAACAGCCATGGAAAACATTGGTATGGCATCAATGGTAAATGTGGCAACATAGCTCCACCAGAAGTAGGCCAAGTAAATATACCTGAATGTGGTGAGGTCGGAAGAGAAACTGCCTGTTCAAGTTTGATTTTTCAATCAAGTCGGGGTCAGTGACTGTGACCTAAAAGCAAAACAAAATAACTGAATATAACATTTTGTTTTACTGTTTATTACTGGTACAAAAAAGAAATGGAGAAATTTAGGGAACATCTGAAAATATGTGTTGAGCAAATACCCAAATAGATGTACTGCTCACTTATGTGTTTTAGGCACATTAGAAAATACAAAGACAAATATCAGCTACTAAGTAACATGTAAATTTACAATTTATACATTAGCTTCTCATATCACCAAGGCAGACAACAATCAAAAGCTGCCTTCTGTATAAGCTAGTGTTTTGGTAGTGAAATGGTGCCACCGGGTAACAAAAGATATTGTTTGTAGATGCATAATAGCTACAAAGCTGAAACACAATCTACTTCAGTGAGTGTTTGCATTCACTCCTTAGTGAACAGGAAACTGAACATTACAGGTACTGGTGCTACAGTTTCTGGGAATCCTCCACAACATCACTACCATATGACAGCTACAGGAAGCTCAAAAGATCATGTCCTACCAAACTCTAAGCCCCCTTTAAATCATCCACTGCTATATCATATTACATATAACAACAGTGGTAAATGAAAAATACTACAATTTGCATCACACCAATTCATTGATCTCAACATAGCCCCAAAAGGACAAAAAAAGTGGTAAAATGTAGAGATAACTGAGTCCATTTACTAAAAGGTATATACATTGGTCCCTTTACAAGTGAAATTGCACTTTGCAAGGGAATTCCCCCCCCGATCTTATTGAAAGTGAAGTGCTTAGTGAAAGTGAAGTTTCACTTTGCTAAGAATACACAATCGTGTAAAAAAACAAAAAAAAAAAAAAAAAAAAGCATTTTTGCTTGCACAAGACTGGATGATGGAAATCAAGCTTCACCTCATCCACTTGAGTCTGGGGATAATTCCCTTGAAGAGTGAACAGTATTTGCCTTTTGTAAATCAACCCCAATGTGCCCCAAAGTAAAGAAGTACTCCAAATATAAAGATGCCTAGTGTCACTAATCTGTAGGATTGGACTTTGGATCAATGAGCAAAGGAAACATCAAGATGAAGAATCCTTAAGAGAGTGTTTTGCAAAAGAGAAACTTCCCGATACTACAGGAGGAAAAAAAAAAAAGTGCATGAAAAAATTCAGTTTAGTGGAAATCCTTATTTAAAAAAACAAAAAAAAAAAAAAAAACACACAAAAATGGCACAATGGGCCGACTAAGCCTAAAGACCAATACAAAAATACCCTCTATAGGGTCAAATGCTTACCAATCCTCTCTCTGAGCCACAGCCAACCCCAAGAAGTGCAAAATTTTTCAGCATTTCACAACCAATAGCACCACATCCAACCTGTAAAACAAACAAAAAAAATTTAGATGCAAAATCTTCTTAAAACAGACTTTATTTTTTAAGCCAACAACCATTAAGAAGTAATAACCATTAAAAAGGAGAAGTACAGCCCAAACTAATTTTGGCTTTTTAATTACACAGGCCATAATAGAATACAATTTTGTTCTCTTCACATTAATTTACTTATCTGTACAACAACATGAAGTGCTTTTTGCATAATCAACATTTGCATTGTCCCTTTTAGCCATAAGGTCATGAGGTTATTTCTTGTACATGAAATCTATATGTGAATTCAAGATTTAGATAAAATACATACCATGAAAACATTCAAGTTGTGAATCTTCTTACAAAAAGTGTCTCCAATGCAAGCTCTGAGAGCATCATATCGATCTCCCCTAAATTAACAATATAAATATTATTCCAATATCAACAATCATGGAAATGTATTTCAAAAGGTTATTACTATGAAGATTTCTGCCCTAGGCAAGAGATTTTGAAGTAATGCCCCACCCAATATTTACAATTCCCATTTTTCTTTCAGCCCAGCTTAATCAACACAACTAGCAGATTTATCATCTCATATATTTCAAGTAAGTGGCAGTCTGGTAAAACAAAATATTTGTGCTTTCTCAGATACTGCCTTACTAATAGGATTTGTGTAATGATTGTTCTGCAGTCTTCCACAGTTCACATGCATACTGTTGAAGCTATACACAAAAGGTGTTGATTTACTAAAGGCAAATGAACTGTTCACTTTGCAAAGTGCAGTTGCACTCTGCAAGTGCAATTGCTCCAGAGCTTAGTGAATGAGGTAAAGATTCACTCTGCAAAGAATACCCAATCATGTGCAAGGAAAAATAGAGAAAAAAATCATTTTTGCTAGCACATGATTGGATGATGGAAGTCAGCAAAGTGTCTGTTCATTTATTAAGCTCTGGTGCAACTGCACTTGCAAAGTGCAACTGCACAGTTTATTTGCCTTTAGTAAATCAACCCCAAATTATCCATATTGTTTTTATTATTAAACTGGCCTCATTTTATGGATGCAGACTTTGCATTTTGTGAAAATCCATGCTGAAAAACAGTTTTGCATAGCCTTTCAAAACCATAAAAAATTCATATTAAAGAATAGGGCACTTCAAAATGTAAATGTGCATATCTAGCTCACTGGAAATTGGCTTCTCAAGTACCAATCACTGTGACATGGGGCCAAAAGACACTTCATCCTTGAGAAAATTGTAAGACCCCATTCAGATATTTGTATTAGGGTACTGGGGCATCACTTGTGTTTTACCATGTGATACCACATTGCAGTGACATCAATCTGAAACAGAATTTTGCCACACAAACTGTTTTAGAGTTTGAATGCTGCTCAAAACCAATATTGTAGTGTGCAGCATACCATATTGCAACACGTGACAATGCACATGCCATGTATTATGGTATGCTCCATAAGGGGGAAAAGAAAGAAGAAAGAAGGAAGAAAGGAAGAAGAAGAGGTCACAGCCCCTGCTAGCCCATTCAAAATGTAAAAGCAAGTAACGCTCATGTACACAAGCGCCTACAATCCAGCACATAAATGAAATAAAGAATGGCACCTTGGAAGGAATTCTTCTCTGCTGATTTGTTCCAGTGGTTTGACAATATCCAGGACATCCAGAAATAGCTGGAGAAATACCAAGCAATGCATCTAAATAAACCAAGTACTATAAACTAAAGTTACAGGAAATGTATGTGAGTGAACATGTGAATACATGGAAAGCAAACAAGATGAAAACACAAACCTCTGCTACTCATTCAAAAACTGGTACTTGGTTTTAAGTACAGTTTTTTATGCAGCCTAAACCCTCGCTGTAATTGCAACGTACATGCTCTAAAAGAGTAGTCTTAAAACTGCAGTCCCCGGGCCAGATGAGGTCCATTACTTGACTTTATCTGGCCCTTGAGGCACTCTTCCTCTCACTGACAGCAACGATGGAGCACTATTCCTCCCACTGACCCCAATGATAGGGCATTTTTCCTTCCACTGACACCAAAATTAGAGCACTGTTCCTACCATTGACACGGATGATGGGAAACTATTCCTTCCACTGACACTAACAGTGGAAAATTATTCCTTTCACTGACACCAATGATGGGGCACTATTCCCCCTACTGAAACCAATAATGGGACACCATTCCTTCCACTGACAATAACAGTAGGTCACTATTCCTCCCACTGACACCAACTCCACAATGAGTTTCTATTCCTCCTCTCACGGACCACGGGTACAATGTAAATTTATTTACTCTCATTGACCACCAGCAATGTCTACTGCCACTGATGCTGGGGCATTGACTACTCCCAGTCCAGCCCCCCTAAAGTTTGAAGGACAGTAAGATCTTATAGATCTTGGTCAGCATGCTAAAAATAAACAGTACGGTTCAATGCATCTGCTCTTTACCAGAATGCAGAATATAATGACTATGTTTATGTGAATGTACAGCATCAAAAGCCTGGTCTCTAATGGATGTGAATGCCCTCCATTCACTGTGTAATAAAGCAGCTGCTCTCTGCATCATCAAGGATTGCTCACTGCCAGGAGAAGACCCAAAAAGGTATAGTACCCAACAGGTACAGTACCCAGCCATGTAACAGGCCTCAAGACTTCAAAAGTAAGCATGAAAAAGGAAAAAAAAAAAAAAAAATCAAAACATGTTAGGGGCCTCCAAGGTTGGGCTTTATGTCTTTTTTGCAGGAAGCATTTCTCACATGTATGTATGTTTAACTTTTTTATCTTATGCATCAACCCAATAAACAGATTGCTTCAACACAATCTAACTTAAATGTCTTAACAGAATGCTAATCTTTTAGTGAAACCAAAGAACATCTACATCCATATGGCATACTTGAATGCATTAAAAGTGGACATTTCCTTCCAATTACATAATCTGATGTTGCTCGCTACTAAGCACACTGTTCTGCATTCATCCACCACATTTTTTAAAGTATGTTATTTTCCTACCTATTCTTTTTCTAACACTTCAAGGTTCCCCTAGGGCTAGGCAGATCTCATTTCAAGGCTGTAAGATCTTGTGAGATTTTGCTAAATCTCGCAGTTAGACTTAGTTTTCATCAAATAGGATGTGTCAAGTGAGAAAGAGGGCAGTTACATGGTGATGGATGAATAAATAAACAAAATCCTGCAAGATTTTGTAAATTTATTCATTGTTCTGCATATACCGCTTACTACCATGGCAGCATATGTACACACAAAAGGGAAACAAAACCAGGAATTCACAAGATTTCTGGCTGGATATAAAGCTAAAAGGATAGAACAAAATGTGACAAACTCCTGCGCTCCTACCTAAAAACTAATACCTACCAACAAAGGTAAAGCTGCTACATACAGTCATATACCCATAGACAAAAAATATAAATGAAACACAAATGATGCAGCGATACTACCATAAAAATTCTTCACACATAAATGAATAAGTGAAACAGTGCAAAATTAGTGACACAAATAACAAACACACAATATTAAATAGTGCCAAAAAAAACTCAAATCACGTGTGACAAGTGTCAATACGAGGTCCTAAAAGGACCAAATAACATAAATGGTGCCCCAAGTAATCCAATGGGATCCAATAGTGCTCCAAATCAAACAAGTAAGTCACAACAGGACTCAATGTGCTAAAAAACCTCCCACCGGAACTAAAAATCAGTTCCCACCATATAACACAAAACACACGTGCATCCCAATAAAACGCATAAACTAAGAACTGATCATGCAAACAAACATGAATATATAAAGTCCCGTGAGGTGTAAAACACCTGACAATCCACAGCAATTCTTGAAAAAAAGAAAAAAAAAAAAAAAAGTGCTGATAAATGTGCAGAGATATTCAAAAATGGCTGAATTGCCCGCTCCCCTCCCTCTTGCGACCCGCACAGGGTCAAAAGGCCTTCAGGATCACTAACACATGGACCCTTAATAGTAGGTAATCCTCCACAGCTCTCCACACTGACCTCCCCTCATGTACAGATTAAGCGTGACGATACGCGTTGGTGGTGACACACTTCTGGTCTGATGCCTTCTTTATTTACATTGGACACCCATGCAAGTACATCTGATCTGAGGTGTGATTTACATGCGATGTACAAGATGATTTTAAATGTGAGCATATTCGATATATACTTTGTTTGGTGAATAAATAGTTTTACACTATGCAAGCATTCACTTCTATTTTCTGAGGGATCAAGTGGCTGCAGCCACCTTATGTGCCTGAAGAGGAGATCTGCTGCCCTGTGAGCCTGTGCTTGAATCTGTACATGAGGGGAGGTCAGTGTGGAGAGCTGTGGAGGATTACCTACTATTAAGGGTCCATGTGTTAATGATCCTGAAGGCCTTTTGACCCTGTGCGGTTTGCAAGAGGGAGGGGAGCGGGCAATTCAGCCATTTTTTAATATCTCTGCACATTTATCAGCACTTTTTTTTTTTTTTTCTCTTCAAGAATTGCTATGGACTTTATATATGTTTTTTTGTATATTATCAGGTGTTTTACACCTCACGGGACTTTATATATTTATTCATTTATTCATGTTTGCATGATCAGTTCTTAGTTTATGCGTTTATTGGGATATAACAAAATGCTTTCAATTGTATATTTAAAGGGTGCAAATAATAAAAATGTATTGTTAGAGTTAACATACACTTTCAGTTGTTGAGTACACTTACTTTTACACCAGAAAAGAGGAACCTGAAGTACCTCGGGGACCATATATGGTAGGGGAAGGATGCATTCATGCAATATCATACTAAAGTGCACCAAACATTTCAATACCTACTATAAAAGGGTTTATGAGTTTTATATGAAGATTACAGTACCAATAGAATACAAATTAAACCCAGCCAAAACCTAGAAAAACTTACCCACTGTTGCAAAGGTGAAAACTTTCCTGTTACTGCCTTCAAGACTTCTTGACTGGCAATTCCTCCCGTGGCAGCTGCAAGGGGAGTCAAGAAACCTCTAGATGTCCAGGACAACCATTTAACAAACTGCTCATCCAACACAGGCTGAAAGACAGAACGCACACATTAAAAGTTTATATGCTTTTAAGGCTGTGTTCGCACCTCTGCGGCTGGGGAACGCATGCAAAATGGTTTGCGTTTCCAATCAGCATAGAAACATACTGCAGTTCGGTGCGGCACAATAAAAAAAAAAAAAAAAAAAAAAAAAAAAAAGGGTTGGGGAATTCTTTCCCTGCATTTCTCGATGGTAGGGCAGCCCATTAAAATGAATGGGCTGCTCTACCAGCGACATGTCCACACAAACCTCCAGGCACATACGTGAACCAGGCCTAAGAGTCAATCATCTTTATTCTAATATTTACATAAAGCTTTGCTGACAGTCTTATTGGCATGAGTGAACAAGAAAGTAATACTTGAAGAAAATGCTGCTCCAGGTTTCCGCCAGTGAAATGGTTAGCATTTCATCCCTTTAACTGCACTTTATCCATTCCAGCAAGATTTACAACTTACAGTAACCTGTAGAGATCCATTTCAATGCATTTCAACTTTACTTGCCAAGGGGTGAACTGGTAATTTGCACTAAAGCATCGACACCCCCAACAATTCTGCCTGTGCCTACCTTCTCTATCTCTTCATGCTGCCAAAACAGAGTTTTCGCCAAGCAGAATACTAGAAATGCTGACTGCATTGCAAACATAGGAGCATCTATGCCTTTAAATCATAATCATTAAAAATAATCATAATCATATAGTCATTTAAAAAAGTGCATCCCAACAACAAGTTTTCACTTATTATTTTGTAAATGCAAAAAAAAAAAAAAAAAATGTATCACTTAAAAGGCCTCATGCACACTGGATATGTTTTTACAGCTGCTCCTAGGGGCCTTTGGCATTTTTGTCCTGCCTCTAAACTCCTCTGCATGTTAGCCTATGTGTCCATGCACTCATAAAATTTTAGAAGTGTTTAGAGGCAGGAAAAAAAAAACTAAAAACACTGCCAGTACATCCAGGTGCATTAGAGCTTTTAACAGAGTTAACACTAGGTACGTTTAGCACTTGAGCGATGATTCAGGTCAATGGCCAGAACTATTTATTGTGGTCAATGAAATAAATCAATGCCCAAATGCATGACGCGGTAATGAAATAAATTAACGCCCAAATGCATGACGCGGCTAAACGCGTTACACACTTTTACAAGCGTCAGGCTTTTGTTGCCAAATGCTGCTATCAGGAGGCAAGGATTCTAGCAGAGTTAAGAAAATGTTCCGTGTGCATGGGGCCTTAGTGAAGGGATTAAAAATCAAAACAATAAAGCCTTTAACCTGGGAGGCAGTCTTTAGGCTGTGAAACCTACTTTACTCTGCAGAGTTTCAGTTACTGATGCTGCTAATTTCTGCATCTCCTCAGCATCCTGAAGACACCTATAGAAACAAGGGTTATCAAAGTTACAAAATCTAAATATATTGACAGTGTTATTTAGATGTACTCATTATATGGTATTCAAGATGTTAGCTGGACATTTAGAAGTGAGTTTTTCATTTTCTACCTAACACCGCTGAAAGAAATATATAAGTAAAAGATAAAAAAAAAAAAAAAAAAAAAATAGAAAATGACAGCACATCTTTGTAAATACCACTTTAACAGTGTTTCCACTGAAGAAGTGAGAATAATAATACCTTATGTTAGGCAGACGACTGTGCATCTCTTGAAAATGATCCAATGCCAACACAGCTGTGTGAATGTTCAATGGTGCCTTAGAAGTCAGAGAGAATAGGTTTTCATAATCTCATTCATACACCTATAAATTTTAGTATGCTTTTCAGTTTAGTACACCCTACATCACTGACTTTTTTACTATTCTACAAATTACAGACAGGGCTTTACAGAGGGTACCAAACATTAGAAATACAACACTAATTATAATTGAAACAAAATGTTTGAAATGGCACTACAAATTGGGAGACATGTAAAAGGAAAAGCCACACATATTTATGTTTGGATAACAGCAAGTTACTTTTCTTCATTTAAAACTTTCAAATTAAAAAAAAAAAAAAAAAAAAAAAAAAACCCAAAAAACGGAGAACGCTAGCCAAATGAGACATACTGTAAATCAACAGTAAAGGAAGCAGGAAATTGTATGAGGGCTGTGTGAGGCACTATGGCGACTACAATCATATTGTCAGCACATCATGCATCTTCAAAATAAAGTCAAAATATTTATTAAAGAGATCACATCACAGCTGTGAAAGTGCATAATTTTGGAACCTTGCAAGACGCTCCTCATATTGGATGTATAGCTAAAGATGCCAAATGAAGACCATGACAGCTGTGTTGTACATGGTGGTAGATTTCACTGCTTGGGGCCCCATGGAACTTGTAACATGGAGCAAGAATCTGGTAAAAAAGGCAGCATCTGCACGCTTAGTAATTCAATTTCAGTCACACAGTTACAACTGAGTACTGTCCGTGATACTTTTTTTTTTTTATTTGCACTAACATACAATTTTCAGGACAAGTTTTCGGGGTATGTTCCCTTCAAGGTCCAAGCAGTACTACTTCACAAAGTTTTAGCAGAATGTTAAAAGAAACAATGCAATGCATTACTTAGGGTAAATGCCGTTCTGTGATTCCACCTTAAACTCTCTTCCTTCAAAGCACTGACTTTCTGCAACTTAGTTTAAGGCGGAGATCACAGAACAGCATTTACCCTAAGTTGCAAAAAGTCAGTACTTTGCAGGGAGACAGGGCCTGGGAGACTCTGCTTTTTCCTGGCTCTCCTCCTACCTATCGCAGCGCTCCTTCAGCATTACCTATAACTCCATCTCCTCCTCTCCACTTCCTCTCTCTGTAGGGGTCCCTCAAGGTTCCGTCCTTGGACCCCTTCTCTTCTCCATCTACACCTCCTCCCTTGGTCACTTGATAAACTCTCATGGCTTTAAGTACCATCTCTATGCTGATGACATACAAATCTATCTTTCTAACCCTCACTTCACCCCTTCAGTCTACTCTCGCATTACTAACTTACTAATTGACATATCGGCATGGATTTCAATCCACTTCCTCAAACTCAATCTTTCTAAAATGGAGCTCTTAGTATTCCCCCCAGCCCGTGCCCCCTCCCCTGACTTCTCCTTCAAGATCAATAATACAACCATCAGTCCCTCCCCTCATGCCAGGGTACTAGGTGTAATCCTAGACTCCCATCTGTCCTTTCAGCCCCAAATCCAATCACTGTCCGAATCTTGTAGACTTCACCTCCGCAACATCTCCAAGATACGCCAGTTCTTAACCTCGGAAACCACTAAGCAACTTATTCACTCACTGGTTATCTCACGCCTTGAGTATTGTAACTCCCTCCTCATTGGCCTACCTCATCGCAGGCTATCCCCTCTTCAGTCTATCATGAATGCTGCTGCTGCCAGACTCATCCACCTTATTAACCGTTCCATATCTACCATCCCTCTATGCCAATCCCTCCACTGGCTTCCAACTGCCCAACGAATAAAATTCAAACATTAACAAATCACATCTAAAACCATTTATAGCTCTGCCCCAAATTACATCACCAATCTTGTCTCCAAATATCACCCAAACTGTCTTCTCCACTCCTCCCACGACCTCCTGCTCTCTAGCTCCTTTGTCTCCTCCTCCCATGCTCGTCTCCAGAGCCTCCCCCATCCTCTGGAACTCTCTACCCCAATCTATAAGACTATTGCCCACTCTGCCCACTTTTAGGTGATCTCTGAAAACCTATCGCTTCAGGGAAGCCTATCCTGTCTTCAGCCAATAATGGAATCTTCTATTCCTTCTACCAGTCCATCCCCCACAGTTATTACCTTTTGTACCACCAGCCCCTTCCTCTTAGAATGTAAGCTCCAAGGAGCAGGGCCCTCCTAACCCTCTTGTATTGAACTGTATTGTTGCTGTATTGTCTCCCTTTATTTTGTAAAGCGCTGAGCAAACTGTTGGCGCTATATAAATCCTGAATAATAATAATAATAATGCGGGGGGGGGGGGGGGGGGGGGAACACACAGAAACAAATATACATAGCAATGGTTATAAAACTAGGATTAGACTAGAGATAAGAGAGCAAAAGAAAAAAAGACTGTGGAGGGGTTGAGACAACAGTCACAGAGGGGGTCGTAAAACTGTTGGATAATGAGTGAGGAATTCCATGTCCAAATTAAGGCCATTATCTTTTGTATCAAATAGAAATATTCTTAGCTCAAAAGTTTTCCTTTCCTGGATGGTTTTGAAATTTCCTTAAAGAACTAAGATATTGAGGTCTTCCATAGTGTGGTCCAGTTGTGCGAAATGGTGATGAAACTGAAACAGACTACACCTAGTTAAATGCAGGGAATAGTAACAGGTTTACTTTACTGACACCTCCCAGCAGTGTATACTTTCTTCCTTTCCCTTTTGTCTGCCCTTTCCTTCAGCCACTGGGAACAAGTAAAAATAGCTTTGTGAAAGCTGAAGCCAGATTTCCATTGCTTACACAGGACTGGTTGTCCCTATGTCCCCATCTGACAGCACAGGACCAATCACCAACATCCCCATATGAACTGAGTCACATGCTTGTACCGGGGGGTTTTCATCACTCCTGGTGGCTAAATGGCGTGTTAAGGGAAAGAAGGGTATGTGCTGTTTGGGGACAAAGCTTTTAAGTAAACCTGTTGCTGTACCCTGCATGGGATAGCACTGAAAGAGGATAGTGGTTATCACCATTGAAACAATACATTCTGCTAAACACAGATGAGCTGATCTATACAACAGTCTGATACAATGTTTTCCTACCTCTGGCTTACTGAAGTCAGCAGAGAGAAACTGTGGATCAACCAATTGCTTTTCTAGTCTTTCCTATAAAAGAAAAATTTACACCTTATCTCTGCTGTACAGACCTAGGCAGAAAACCCTAACAGAGATAGTTGGCAAACAGCTTGCCACATACATTTAAAACATTGCTACTTACAAAGCAGAAAGACTTTGGCATTTTAATCTGCATAGCTATTCCCCCATGTTGGTATGGTTCCATGCTTGATGTATCTCCAATGCTAAAGGAATAAGGTGATGTAACTAAAAATCAATAAACAGGGGGGTGGAGTTAGTTCTCAAGAACATAGATTTTCATCAAGAAGAAAAAAAAAAAAAAAAAAAAAAAAAAAAAAAAAAAAAAACACTGTAAATGAGGCCATCAATTTACATTTTATCACTGTGCAGTCGGCTGTCAAACTGTATGTGGCTCTAAGCCAACTTTATTTAAGGCAAAGGAGGCTCAACCTTTTGAAGAGTGAGGGCCACTTAAGTGATTTTGTAACCGGTTGGGGTCACAATGAGATGAAATGGTTCAGAATATAATTTTTTATTTTAAATAGCATAATTAACAGCTTCCTCCTACAGCCGCTGAATGCTAGAGGAAGGGAGAGGAGAAGAATCCGGCTTTCAGCAGGTGCAGGAGGAAAATGGGGAGGATCAGTTCCGCCACCCCTCCTTTACAAGTGCAAAACAGAATGTGACTGGGAGATCACATTGGCTCCATGGAGCATGGGGGCAGGATCGCCATTTCCACCCCTCACGCTACACCAGTGGTCGGTGAGTGTGGTAAAACAACATCTCAACGGTGGGGCTTTATTGCCCCCCAAACTGCAAATGTAAACAAATACTTACTGCCCTGAGCCCCCTATAATGCTGCTTTCACACTGATGCGCTGGGTTTACCCGCACTGCAGGTGCAGCACAGTGCACCGGAGACTTTCCTGCGGGTTAGCTGCTCTTTGCCATAGACTTCTATTATATCGTGCCAGTGTGGTGTACTGTCTGAAAGCGTACAAAACTCCTGCATTCTTCTTTTGCAGGTAATTCTGCTTTGTTTTGACCCTGCAGGGGACACTTTCTAATCACTTGTTGATTGCTGTATATATAAAATTGTCCCGTTAGCAAGTGATTATTAGGAGGTCATAGACCACCTCGGGAGGGGCCGAGATCTCTTTACACAGAGGAGAGGGGAGGACGATTGGTTCCCTGATCTCTTTTGTGAGGAATGATGCAAGAAGTGACCGATTTAATCACTTTCAGCTGGTTTCAGCTAGGAAAGCATGATCTGTGCTTGATCAGCTGCTTTGGAGGGCAATCTAACAGACCCCCGATGTCTCTATAAAGACCACCTGCCACTGCCCAAAGCCATCACATAGGCAGCTTGTTATCCCCTTGTGAGAACAATTAGGTTAAATTGGAAAAAAAAAAAAAAAAAAGGTGTAAAACAATAAATTTGAATAAGATCAATTGTAACTGCTTGCTGCTGAGAGGCATAGCCAAGCTAGGCAATAAATCACAGTAAAATCTCTGCAAAATTGCGCGTTTTCGGCGGCCATTATCACCAAAATGCCAATAACACCAATTTCACCCGATACATTTCGGCTGCCGATATTTCGGTGCATTGCTAAATATTAGTGTCACTAGTGATGTCATTGTTAGTGTCCCTCCCAGCCTGTGTCTGTTAGCTCCAGATTGCCAGCCATACTATCACAGTCACACTGTAAGGCACTGCTCACTACAAGTATAAACATCTATAAAATTCCAGCACACACACTTTGTAGATGCTATAACTTTCACAGAAACCAATGAATATACACTAATTGTTTTTTTTTTTTTTTTTACCACAGACATGTAGCAGAATACATTTTGGCCTATATTTATGAAGAATTTAGATTTTATTGGATATGTTTTATTTTAATTAACAAAAAAGTAGAAAATATAGCGGTTTTTTTTTTTTGTATATAACAAAAAAACCTAGTGGTGATTAAATACCAACAAAAGAAAGATCTATTTTGAAAAGCAAAAAATGCCCTGGTCATGGAGGGGGTAAAACCTTTTGGCGGTCAAGTGGTTAAAAGCACCCTCTCCTCCAGAGTCAGTGTTCCTGCTGCATTCTGGCCACAGCTGCTCGGCCTCTGAACAAAGCAAACTATCCACACCCTTCCAGCCATGTAAATGTAGCCTAGCAAATACTACATTTTTACAGTAGGCTGGGTTGTGGATGAAAGATACATTTTTAATTGGAGCTGCCAGTCCTTATGAAACACAAGAAATGTGATGGTCAAAACAGGAATTTTCCATTGAAACGGTCTGCTTTAACATGAAGCATATCTCCAAGGTAGTAAGCTCGAAAGAGCAGGGCCCTCGAACCCCTCGTGTAGTGTATTGTTACTGTCTTGTCTCATGTTCTGTCCCCCTTGCTACTGTACAGCGCTGAGCATACCCTTTGGCGCTATATAAATACTGTATAATAATAATAATAATAATAATAATAAATCTTTGTTACCCAAAATATACTATAACTGGTATAAAGTATATATTAAGCACTATAGAAAAAAGGGCTTAGTTACATGTGCAGAACAGTCATGGTGTAAATAAAACGTATACTAAAGCCGGCCATACATGAATCGAATTCCGAAAGAATTTTCTTTCGAAAATCTTTTTAAACAGTTTTCATTCAAATTTTGCTCCATTAGTGGGCCATAGCAATGGCAGATTTTCGAACGACCATTGAATCTGAGTGATCAGCATGTTGGAAATTTTTTTTAAACGAATTTCTAATCAAGGATAGGAGAATTGTGCAAGAAATCAATGGTGGCACCATTGGATTACAAAATGCACAAAATTTCTGATTTTCTCTAGAAAAAGCATTCGGAGTTCAACCTATGTATGGCCTGCATAAGCTTTTGCATGTTCATGCGATTTACCTGAAACCTGATGTGTGGACCCATTTAAAGCAGCCATTCCATTCACTTCACGGAATGTCACGTATTGTCCACATTCAAGATTGTGAGACCGGTTCTCAAAACACGTAACCACTCCAGGATTTGACTGTCAACAATAATGAATGTTAGTAAAACTTTTCAGCAAACTGAAAAACAATCATTAGGCCTTGTTCACACAGTCTTCAGTATAACTACAGTGTGTAGCTGCTACAAAGTTTTCAGCAGTTTTTTTCAAAGAATTTACAAAGCTTTCAACATGCTTCAAGCAGCAGTGCTAAAGTCCTTAAAAAACTCCTCAGTTCCATCTTGGGAATTTTAACACACATCTTAAACCTGAAATTCAGGTATGGCATTTTGAATATAGTTACATTGGTACAGCTTGGACAGATGCAATTATGTATGTGCCATACTTTTGGGATATCTCTAGAAGCTGGAAATCAATGTAGTGGACATTGGTATTCCAGTGATCTCAAACTAGCTTCCGGATCCCTTGCAAACTGGCTGCACTGCTGCATTCTGAACACAGGAGGTCATCCGCTTGGCACGGGCACCATTAAGAGAGAGATCGCTTTGCAGTTTATCAATGAATGAGAATGTCCGTGATTGGACGATATGTGAAAGGGCCAGGGGCCTTTTGGTCGATTACATCATCACAGTGGAATAGAGTCTGACAAGTGTAGTGAGAAGTACGCCATTCATTTCTATCCGTGTGGGTGGATTGAAGGTTTTACTTTATGTACGGATATCATGTTGATCATTTGAGTGGTTTTAATCTTGATTTTACAGTGCTCAGTATAAATGAGTACACCCCAACGAATTTGTCAGAAAACCTTTACTTTCCTTTCAGAATCAACATTTTCTATGGGACGCTATACTACAAAATACTCCCACAAATGCAGGCCATTGATTGCAAACAAGATTTGTTAATTTGCACACACAAAAAAGTATTTTTCCTAACAAATTCATTCAAGACCATATTGCAAAAATGAATAAACCCCAATGAAAGTCCTAGGAGCAAAGCTAAATTTTAGACAACATCCTTCAACTACAGGTGAGTCTAATTATTCATTAAACAGGTGTCCAGCAGACAGTGAACTATAAAATGGTGTTACTTAAAGAACATGACATGCTGTCAGCAATGACACCACATGGAGGAGAAATGTCACAAGAAAATAATGTTTTTACACAAGAAAGGTGAAGGTTACAAGATCAGCAAAGCTTTACTTATCAGTCAGAATACTGTAGCAAAAGTGATACAAAAATTTAACAACAATGGAACTGCACCATCTGACAAAGACATCCAGGCCGTCCATGGAAGTTAACACCTCGACAGGAGCGTCTTCTGATAAGAAAGGTCGAAGAAAATCACCATGCAAGTTCACTGCAGTTAGCTAAAGTCGTAGAAAGCCAAACTGAAGTGATGGTTTCCCGTGACACAATACGGCATACACTTCAGAAGAATGGCATGCATTTGTTTTGTCCACGAAGGAAGCCTCTCCCAAAACCCATGCACAAAAAAGCCTACCTAGAATTTGCCAGGAGATGCCAAAGAAGACTACTGGGACTCTGTACTCTGGAGTGATGAGACCAAGATAAATGTTTTTGGAACTGATGGCTTTAAAACTGTATGGCCTCGCAAAAGGTGAGAAGTACAAAGAAAAATGCATGGTTCCTACAGTGAAACATGGTGGTGGCAGTGTCTCTGTGGGGCTGCATGAGTGCTGCTGATACTGGGGAGCTGCATTTCATTGATGGTATCATGAATTCACAGATGTACTGCTCTATATTGAAAGAGAAGATGCTACCATCACTCCATGCCTTTCGTCATCCTGCACTTTTCCAACATGACAATGATCCAAACCACATCTAAGGCCAATGTTGCATTTCTGAAGAATAACAGGGTGAAAGTGATTCAATGGCCAAGTGTGTCTCCTGATCTGTACCCAATCGAACACCTATGGGGGAATTCTGAAGAGACAAGCTGAGCATCACTCTCCATCCAGGTTCCAGGCTCTAAAAGAGGTCGTTCTTGAAGAATGGAAAAAGAAAGATGTTGCAATATGTCACCAACTTGTTCAATCCATGCCTAGAAGACTTTGTGCTGTCCTTACAAATCATGGAGGTCATACAAAAGACTAGATGGAGTAGTTTTTGTTGTGGGGTGTATTCATTTCTGCATCAACTAATTTGAGTAAAACTGAAGATTTTGTAAATCAAGTTATATTATTAGGTGTTCTTGCATGGCCAGACCACTTACTGTTATCTCACATACATATTCTTATTATTATAGCCAAATTTACCACCCTAACTCCTCCCACAGTTTTTTACACTACATAGACAGTAATATACCGAAACATGCGGATTGTTCCCGATTAGTGTGCTATTACTTTGTGGAACGTTTTGCCGAATGGTTCACGAAATATCAGCGTTTTTGTGGTGAAATTGGTCCCATGAATGGCGGAATGTTCAAAACTAGAGTGGGAGCTGACAAAAGCTAGAGTGTGAGCTGAAAAAATCAGGACATGGATTTCTAAACTGCCATCACTCCTTCATTTTCAAGCCCACCTACACAAATCTTATATCAAAATGTTCAGCTATCCCTGCTGCCACTAAAAATGTCCACGGCTAAGCCATAGTCCTGATAGTTTTCACAATATGACCATTTGTTTGAAACTCATGCCGGCCATTGACATTCATTGAAACTGCACTCTAGCCACCTCAGATTTGAAGGGCAATTTCTAAACTGCGACCACTCCAGTTGTAGACTACTGGTGGAGGCAAGAACACTTCACACAATTTCCGCAGAAATTGTAGCTTTTCTAGTTAACCTTACTTTCATGTAATGAGCTAAACAAATGTTCTATAAAACTCAGTTTTTGTCAAAATGTTGGAAACTTTTCTTGTGTTCATTGAGATATTGATTAAAATCTTACTTTTCAAAAGCAGTATACTCATTTATGCTGAGCACTGTATATAATAAAGTCATCAGTGAGCACTAGGAGAGGTTTTGTCTCTATATGTGCCTTAGCAACTTGTCTTAAAAGCTACGTGACATCTGGAAGTTTGTGGAAGAGGCCAGACCTCCATTCTAATCCCACATGGGGATACACGCACTTCTAACCTCATTATAATTGCAAGGTCATTTCTGTAATGTGAGCAGTTAGGAGTGCCACAGGGTGAAGACTGAACACTACACTGTGGAATTATTGCAAAAAGAGTTCTCATCACTGTCTACATCTGGATTGAGACTTTAAATTTTGTGTGTTACCACAATACCATGTTGGTGTGATATTCACCCTTTGAGGATTTGGGATTTTTCATGCTTGTATATATTAATATGTTTTTTTTCATAGAGTGCATATGTGCTTTGTTTTTTGAGTAATCAGTTTTGGCTATTAGATTTTTGTTTTGATGCAGTATTATCACTTTTAGTGTAAGCCTGCTATATAATATTTTAGTCTTTTGTTTGTGGGTGCGCAGGTTGATTTGTTATTTTGTTCACATCTAAGAAATGGTAAGCTGCAATTCAATGAATTATGATTTTGGGTTTTATACCACTTTACCAACCCTTCTCCATCTCCATTGCGAGCTTACCAATGTGTTAATTAATTAGGAGCAGCATTGGTGCATGCACAGTATAATGTGCTTTGTTTTGTTGATTTATTTAATTGTTGCATTTTCCACACGATCGTGCGAACAGGCAACTACCAATTATTTTTGTAATCTGAGCCTCTTTGGCTATCAAGTGTAGCCTCAATTTTTGTTTTAAAGTCAGTATTACCACTCTTTAGTTAAAGCACCAGATTGTGATTACAAATAATGTGCATGTTTTTGATAATTTTTGTACTTTTTTTTGTACCTACTGAGATCTGCATGATGTCAGAATATGAGTTAATGGAATTCACATCATCATAATTTGTCCAACATGGTATCAGCTGCAGATCATATACAAATTATTCAACCCCCAATTTAAAAGGGGGTTTTAGGGACTATAGTTTACATTTGTGGAATTGTATATTCAGAATCAAATCCTACCAGGACGTTGTAATACCCAAATGCAACTAAAATGACATTTTGTTTATGTAATACAGTAGTAAGAAATGGTATGTGGTTTCTTCATTGCCACAATTATTCAACCCCTTAAAGACTACCACTCTGAAGAACAGAGGTTTTGGGTGCTTTCCATCAGGTATTGAAAACCACCTTGTGGATGTCACCGAGCAGCAATCAAGCATGCGAGAGCACCAATTAGGCAGCTTTAAATGACTGTGATACTCAGCTCCTTCTAGCATTTACTGGTGTGGTTCATGGTGAAGGCAAGAGAATGGTCCAGGAAGAGTGATTTCATTTTGAAGGGCAATGGCTATAAGAAGATTGCAAAGAGGCACCTTAGGAAAGCATTCGCAAAAAACGCTACCTGGTCGTGGCAGAAAGAAATGTAACTGCTGTGCGCATCAGCGTTGTGGAGAGACGTCCCCGTGTGACTGCTGAGGAACTGAGAAAATGGTGCAGAAGTTTCAGTCCAATACACTTGAATCCGTGCCAGAAACTCCCAGGCGTACCCCCTTGCTGTCTCCAAAGAATAAGAAGAGTCGACAGCAGTATGCCAAAAGCCATGTGGACAAAACAAAAGTTGTGATAGTGTTTTGTAAGTCTGAACTGTTTGGAGCCCTTCAAGCTATGTTTACAAAAGAACAGGCCTAGATGAAAAGAACGCTTGCCAACTGTGAAGCATGGTGTCAATTTGCTTTGCTGTTTTTCTGCAAAGGGTCCTACATTCCACTCTTTGTGAAAGCACCAGAGGCTTGTTGGATTACAAACCTCCAAGTCCACTAGAGCATGGTTGCAGATGAAAGGCTGGAACATTTTGGAGTGGCCATAGTCACCAGACTTAAATCCGATTGAGAACCTCGTGGGACTTAAAGAAAGCAGTTGCAGTGCAAGCCTAAGAATGTGAGATCTGCTTTGCCCATGTCAGAATATGAGACACTTGTGTTATGCTTCACGTTTAAAATTCCAGCATCATAATTTGTGAGCACCAACATGTTTTTTTATAACTTATGTTATAGTGTCTGACCTACAAGTGCCTCATGTAAAATACAAGATTGAATGATCAAAAGCAATGTCAAACACAAAACACTCAATTTCAGTGGGGTTGGTGGCCACAACTGTACTTTTTAAATTCACAGACTATCTGGTGCACACTCATGGACGTGTTGGAATTTTTTGTCTTACTGCATTTCAGGATAAGAATCATATAGCTCTAAAAAACAGTTAGGGTGGGTTCACAAATTTGCACTGCGGTAATAGGTGTGTTTTATCCCTTTTTGCTGTGCTATTGATTTTTTTAATGGTAACAAAACAGACCTGTGTTTTAATACACAACAGCACAAATATGTCAACAACCTGTGCATTGTGGTGAGCTGGAAAAAAAAAAAAAAAAAAAACTGATTCCTTGCCATTTTGGCTATTCTTCTATCCATTCGAATGGTAGTTTTTCGCTTTCTTCCACATCTTTCAGGTTTTGGTTGCCATTTTAAAGCATTTTCAATCATTTTAGCTGAGCAGCCTATCATATTCTGCACTTCTTTATATGTTTTCCGCTCTCCAATCAACTTTTTAATCAAGGTACGCTGTTCTTCTGAACAATGTCTGGAACTACCCATTTTCCTCAGAATTTCAGAGAGAAAAGTACTGTAACCAGCATGTACAACATTTGCTGCCTTCCTTCCTTAAATAAGGGCAATAATTGCCACCTGTTTTTCAAAGAATGAATGACCTCACTAATAGAACTCCACACTGCTATTATTTTGAACACGCCCCTTTCAATTAGTGATTCAATTACACAGAATCAGCAGCATGCATGTCATGACTGTTGGGTCTGTTGGATTTCTATTACTCTACTACACCTGCTAGTAAATTATTTGCCATGTAGAAATATCATTTCTACCAAAAACAGTGATTGATCAGGTTAGTGATGTCTGACTGCTATTATTTTGAACACAACTGTATGTGCACCAGGGCTTAAGAGTTTTCACACAGAATGGGATGTTTACCAGTCTACTGTGGGATTCTATTAAGGGGGCATATTAAACAAAACACTGCTTCCTAGAGTTCTTATTTCAGAATATACCTCAGTAATCTGTTTTGAGGAATCATACCATCCACAGGATGACAGATTGTATATATTATATTTGGGAAAGTATTGGTGAACTCTTTTCAATGGAGTTCCAGCACAACCCCTACACATCGCTATACTCCGTTTGTGCTAAATAAAAGGAATCCAGACAAAAGTCTACATTATTATAAGGACTGCAGGAGAAGAGGATTTCAGCCTGTAGGTTACAGTAGTCCATTTAGTACATAATTATCATTTTTGGGTGGACTTTTTATAGAACAGAAACAAACGATAATAGGACAAAACATCTTTAAAGCATACCAAGGGAGGTATTCTTATTCTGTAAAACAGGATTATCATACTATAAAAACCATACAATGAAATAACTTTAGAATAAAATTATTACGCTTTACCTGTGTTATATTGGAAATAAAGATCTCTTTTGGCTCTTCACCTGTAGTATCCATCACCTCAAATTCTTCTCCAAAATCACAGAACAAATAGGAACATATACCATAGGCATCTGAAGAAATAAACTGAAGAAAAAAAACAAAAAAACAAAAAAAAAAAAAAGTGACATTAGCCGTTTTCATGTAATTAGACAAATCTCTGTCTACAAGCTAAAGAAAGTCCAATGCTGCATATAATTATATGAAAAATATATCACTTTTTTGCTGATGACAAGCAAACAGCTCCTTAGTAATATCAGGACCTTGCAGGCTTGTAAAGTGCATGATAAAGCTTGCACAAACTTCCCCCCTGGATTAATGACCATCATAATCAATCGGTTTTCTACCCAGGATTATGACAGTCCTGCAACTGGAAACATTTCTTTTCATATCAACAGGAAGGCATTGAAAATATACAGAAAATACAGATCATACATTTACAGTGTTCTTGATATGTTTCCATCTCTATGACCTTGTAAGATCCAACATTTTATTTCTACATGTAACCACTGCCAATCAAATTCAAAGGCATGGCAAACTCAAGTCAAATGCATTCTAAACTCACCTCTGTACACATGTTTTAGAGAGGTTTGGTTGACAAGGTCAACATTCTTTAAAACAATGTCTGTCTACAAGATCTATACAGCTGGCCATATACTGTCAAATTTTCTCTGCAGATGTGACAATAAGGGAAGTATATAAACTTATGAGCAGTTTAACGGATGCTTAAAAAAGTGTTGATTATTTGTCCTCTTACTCTGACCAGAGTTTAAATTAGCAGCTCTTTCCTGAAAAATAGTTGTGGGTGTTGCAGACTGACAATAAAGGTGTAGATCATTATTTCACATGAGCGGCATTACTTACACTTGTAACTATAGCTGTAAATGAATTGAGGGATAATACTAGAAACCTGCAATGAGAATATACAGAGAATACCAATGCTGACCTCGTCTCTTGAAGACGTTAGCTGCCTGACTATCCTTCTGTTTTAGTTTCTTAGTATTATCAGTGTGTTCTGTGTTAGTGACAAAGCAAAGAAGCCAGAGATAGCCAGGGAACTACTGTTCTTAGACAGAGATACACCAGTACCAGCCTCTGGATTCCCTTACTACAGGCTTTCCTAAAGCAGAGTACAGACTATAACATGAGAGTCAACTTGTTTACTTCATTTGTAAACCGAATATAGTTATGAATATTACTGCTATACTAAATTTGGCACTTCAGTACACTGACATTTTTCTGTTTAGACAGATTTGATAAAAAAATAGAACCAAAAACAAACAGGAAAAAAAAAAAACAAAATATAAACAAACAATAAAACACAACAACTAACCATGTAAAGTTATCCGAGCAACAAAAAAGTACACACAAAAAACCCTACACCATGTTTTTTCAACCTGCGTCACAGGTTGGACACAGCCACACTCTACAACATAAAACCTTTCCTTCAAATATACCATTGCTTGTACAATTATGTGGTTTTGAGGCTGAATTCAAAAGATCTAAAGTTTTGGTTAATCCAAACTTTTACATCTATACACCCTGCCAGACATCACAGGCAAGTCCATAAAAAACCCCTGTAGCATCTGCTGACTGGACAGAAAAGAAGCAGCAGAATGCTCACAAAGTCATCCTTCTGCTCAATCTGTTTTCTCCTACTGTAAAACACATTCACTGCACCAGAGCTTGGAAAAAAAAAAAAAAAAAAAAAAACCTGACCTTTTCATTCCCCATCTCATTGATTGTTGTATACAGAAGTACAGCTTTACCATAAAGCTGTGCTATGCCCATGCAAAGCAGAGAACCAGGTTCTCGCAAGTGCCATGTTCCCCCAGATACTTATCCTCTGTTCACTGCAGTTTTCTTGCTCAACCCCAGAAACTCAAGAAAAATCCCTGTGGAAGCTGCAATTTGCTCCAGTCAGAGGTTACACAGAGACTCTCCCTGCCCACACAAGACAATGGTGGGACCTGGCAATTTACCACTTGGGGAAAGGGCTGGTGGGGGGGGGAGACGGGGAGGGGATTCTTATGATCTGTTCCAGGTGGCTGGATGGAACAGTGAAGAAAAGAAAAGATGAAACCTGTTGCTTAGCACAGGTTCACTTTAGGAAGAGTTTTTTTTTTTTACATTAGCTAGCATTTTTTATATTGAAAGCATTACCTTTATAGGTGGTTGATGATCATGACAAAAGTTATTGATCTTTTTTCTTAAGGAAAGCCTTGTTTCAGTCAGTATGACACACTAGGATAAAAAGTATAAAATACAGAATTATCAAGTGCATGTCACTCATCTATAGAAACTGAAAGCTAATAGACTGCTAGGTAATACCTGGTACTGCCTCAGAAATGAAAGATCAGTGGATTCATCCAGTGGCACTGTAGATGATCTTACTTGGACATAAGGGTTAAGCTCTGAAATATGGTGAAGGCATGCTTCGGCTCTGCAATAAAAGATTGTCACTAGGTTTCAAGATGACTTCGTTCACAATACAAATATATTCTATGGAGCATTCATAGAGTTATAAGAAAGCCAAGCCAAGACATGCTGTGCAACTGATTTGAATAATAAAAGGCTTTCTAACTTCATTATAGAAAGCCAGCTAAGCACAGCGATATATTAAGATACTACGTCATGAAGTCTGTATTTAAGACTGTTCTAAGCTCATACTTTTAACAAATGTTCAAGATAATTTTTTCTTACCTAGTTTTTTGATTCTTGACATCCTCTTCTTTAATAAAAAAATTTGTTCCAAGATCCCATGGTTCACAATGTTTGGTGTCATGGATTGTCAACGCCTGATAAAATAAACATTCCATTATAACCACTATCACCCAATCCTTTTCATTAAAATGCAAGAAGGTAGATGTAACAGCTTACCTTTATCCCAGCTAAAACAATGTTCTTGGCTACAATAAGAAAGAAAATCAGTTATTTGACTTAGCAGCTACAATGAAGCCCAGAAATGTCAGTATTACAAAATACTAAGAACTAATGCAGAGTCAAACAGGTGGTCAGGAGGCTCCCAAATTTAGCACACTTAAGCTGGACTGAGATGGACTGAATCTCAGCAGGTTCAGAAAGGGAGTGCCAGAGATTCAGTTCATCTATGGGCAGGCTGGTCGAACTGAAGTTTATCCAATCAATCAACTTTAATACAACCAGCCTGTTGTATTTTTTTGCATGCGATCACTGTGTCTATAGCTGCTGGCAGTGATCACTGTGTTCTGCTGGAAGGGAAGGTTCCCCACCAGCAGAATACAAAAGTGCTGCGGGAAGGTTTCCCCATCAACAATGACTGTGTTGATGGGGGAATCAAGCTATTTACTTTCTTTCTACCCGTGGTGGAAGGAAAGAACATTGTATAATGTATGGCTTGCTTAAGAGCTGGTCTTGTTTCAAATTCTAGCCTTGAAAATGCAAATTAGCTGTTCAAAATCGAGATTCCAAAATGGACTTTGATAACCCCATTAAACGGATTTATTCTGGCTGAGGAGCTCATTACAGTAAGGATTTTTAAGGTTTTACGCATTTATCTCTAGAGGAAAACCAGTCTGAGCAAAATACATACATTACTTGGGAAGCATAAACAACGAAGAAAGTACAGTTTAGTTATCCTAGTTAACACTGTTTTGATATATTATTATCATTAAACAGGATTTAAATAGCGCTTCACGCAGTGCTTTACAACATAAGGGCAGATAGTACAATTACAATACAAATTAATACAGGAGGAGTCAGAGGGCCCTGCTCATTAGAGCTTACAATCTGATTTACCAAACACTTTATGCATTAAGCCTCCTTGCACAGGAAAGTTTCCAAGTATAAAATGTGAATATGGTCCATATAGTGCTTGCATTTACATGCATACAGGTGCGTAAATATTCCACAATGCTTCCCCTAGCTCCCAGATTTGAAGAGAGTGATTTCTGATTGTATATGCATAAAATACTGTCCAGATATTTTTTATATTTTTACTGATCTGAAAGTTGTGCTAGTTTACACACATTGATGCAACTATGTGCACTGACCCATAAAAAACAAAGGTCATTAAAAGAAAAAAAAAAAAAAAAAAAAAAAAAAAAAAAGCCTGAGCAATGTTGCGTTTTTGGTGCTGTACACAAGAGCCCATACTCGGACACACTTCTAAGTCCTCATGCACACTGGACATTTTTACAGCTGCTGTTTTTGTCTTTTGACTTTTTTTTACTACAGTCAGTAAACCCCCCAGCATGTTATCCTATGTGTTCATGCACACAGACTAATCAACGTCTTTTGGCAGGGGCGTTTTTTGGCTGGAAAAAACTTCCAGGACTAGTGGGTTTCTAGATGAGTTTTTTAGCTGTAAAAACGCTTTAACACTGAACAATGTGGCAAAAAGGCATTTTTGGACTTTTTTTTACCAAAAACAAAATAAAATTTTTTTCTGTAAAAAAAAACCCCAAAAAAACGTGGCTAAATCCTAATGCAAAAAAACTCAAGTTTTTAGCATTACTTTACACAGCTAACGTTACCTGCGTTATTAAAATGACCAGTGTGCATGGAGCCTAAAACTTGAAACTTTACAACTATCAATAACACTCCACAGCTCCTTCTTTTGACATCCCAAGAAAATTCTTAGCTTGGTGAATTTCCAATCCAGCCTTGACAATGGGGAAGTCATTCCTACCACACCCATGCAGGGTGATAACAGCAGATGCCAGCCTCCCAGGCTGGGGAGGAGTGTTCCAATATCTTGCAGTTCAGGGAACCTGGTCACCCAGGGAAATCAAACCCCCCATCAACATCCTTGCACTTTATTATTATTATTTACAACATTGCTACTGATTAAGCCCTGGTTCACACCACTGCTATTTGTCATGCGATTTTGAGTAACACCCCATTTGGAACTGTTCAAATTGCTGCGACTCAAGTTGCAGCGACTTTGAAAAAGGTTCCTGCACTACTTTTCTGTGATTTCCTCCCTTGCAATGACTTCTGTTAAGTGAAGTTGAAAGCCACAATGAAATTGAACATCCAAATTGCAATGATCTGTGGCTTTGAAATCAAGTGTAAAAAGCTGCACTGACGTGAACCAGGGCTAAGTGGGGAAGAAAAAAGATAAAATAATTATAAAAACACCTTACCTATCTCAACACCAAGTCCTCCCATCCCACACAGAAAAACATGGGACTGGGCCATTTTCTGCATGGCTGTGTCTCCCAAGACATACCTCTGACGGCTGAAATGACAAATATGGAAAAAAAAAAAAAGTCCCAAAAAACATTTAAAAAAAAAAAACTTACAAGCATATTAAAACACAAGATACCTTAATGCATTGAGCTTATTAAAAATGACATACTGAAACACAGAGGATAAAAAAGCAGGTGTGCTGCAGAATTCCTTACACAATAATCATATAGCAAAAAAAAAAAAAAAAAAAAAAAAACCATTTGCAAATAATTTCCTAAAAAAATATAATTATATATAATAATAAAATTGGTTTGAGTAGTTGTCCAATTTATTCTTTTGTAAAAGGAAATATAAAGCAGCCATATTTGAATATTCACAGGCAGCCTGTAAATAGATTACTTCCTTGTTTTATATTATGCCTCATGTATATGGGCTTATGAAAATAAGCAGCATTTGGTCTACCAGATATTGGCAGAAAGAAGAAAAACAAAATCCTAATATTACAAAATGTATTTATTTCATATACAGTATACTTAGGCAGCTGTTTACATATATTGTACATTCACATCAATCCCTGCCTTTGAGGAACTTACAATATCAGTTCCTTTAACCACTTCAAGTTCGGACACTTTTACCCCCTTCCTGTCCAGGCCAATTTTCAGCTTTCAGCGCTATCACACTTTGAATGACAATTGCACAGTCATGCAACACTGTACCCATATGAATTTTTTTAGCATTTTCTTTGAGACTGATAAAGCTTTATTTTTGGTGGTATTCATTCACTACTGGGATTTTTATGATTCGTCACAGCTTGTCACATGGTACAAGGCTGTTGTGAATAGCCTTGTACAATGTGACCTCTGATCATTCACAGATTTCACACGTAATAAGCAATGATGTCAGAAGTGACATCTTGCTTACTACTCTGCATGTGATCACTGATTGGCCAATCAGTGACCACATGATTGGGACCTCATACAGAGATCCCATATGATGATCGGAGGACACAGCGGGCACCGGATCGCGGTGCTGCCCGTTCCCAGGGAGTGCGCACAGTCCAAAATGGCAGGCGCCGTTTATGAACGGCAACCCTCCCCTGGACTGCCACCATCTGGCCGTTTATATACGGCGGCCAGACGGTAAGTGGTTAATCGCATTCATACCTACTAGGGCCAATTTAGACAGGAGCCAATTAACCTACCAGCATGTCTTTGGAGTGTGAGAGGAAACCAGAGGACCCAAAGGAAACCCACACACGCACAGGGAAAACCTGCAAACTCCATGCAGGTAGTACCATGGCTGGGAATCAAACTGACCACCCTAGTGCTGCTAGGTGGAAGTGCTAACCACTTAGCCACTGTGCTGTGAATGCATGTTTAGGCACGCAAGTTTCAGGAGCAGATACCTGACAAGATAGTGTTCTGAATATAGCCACGGCCCGAGACAAAACAGATTGCTAATATTTCATAACCAAAAAACAGGGATCTGTGGTGAAAAATGGGCTCCATATCCTCTCCATTGCCAAGCCATACTCTGCAGTATGAAGTGGGGCAAGCCTAGCTCGTTACACCAGAATATAACACAAGAAACAAATGTTACATTTACAACTGAAAGGGTGTACAGAGTAAATTCACCTTTTAATTTTTTTCTGAAAAGGTGAACTTACACTTTAAATTACTTAAAGAACCACATTGCACAGCGGGGGACATAGGCATTTGATGCTCCAGTAAGAATCGAATACTGATGAGTCTGATGAGGGCTGTAGCACTGGAACAGAGGGAGGGAGGAGAAAGGAAGGGCTGCTGGAGGGGTGAGAAAAACAGCTTTTGCAGGGAAATTGCATTTAAATAGTAGTGTGAATGACAAGGTTGCTTTAAAGGACAGTTGTTTTATGAGAAATAGGTAATAAGGCATTGCTCATTGCAAACATCCTCTAAAAATGCTTGCTGCTTTTCGGTCATGTAGATCCCCTGCCTTCAATACTTTTAAAGGCACTGGCCCAGAGTAAAAATGGAGGAAAGGTCAACAAGACTCTTGCACACATTACCACTTCAGTGACTCAGAACTGAAGCCAGAAGATCAGCATGACAACCAGGCAATAACCATTTTCAGGGGCATATCAGCAAGGGGAAGTCCATATACTTCTGCTATGATAGGTCTGCTACAAAGCAATATTTTAAAGGTTGTAATATATGGGTTTTTTCTATTAGATGTGCTGGTGCAGGTTGTCATTTTCATCCTTGTTCCTCCAATTAATGAGCCACCAGGACAAAAAGCACGCAACCAGGGAAGTCTGAGCTGTTTTTGTAGAATAGGGAAGGACAAGGACTGACATTTTTTGCTACCGGTCTTAGGCTTGGTTCACACTAGCGCAGATAAAAGCTGTTGCAGGACACGCACTTTGTCCCGCTGCTGTAACCACTCACACACAAAACAAGGGACCCTCGGGTGGGTGCCATTAATCTTAATGGCACACTGCCTGCATGGGAAATCGCACCCGCACTGAGAACCGCACTGTACTGCGGTTTCCAGTGTGGGCTGCGATTTCTGGAAAGGTGAGGTTTGCGATGCATGGCAGCCCATTCAAATGAATGGGCTGCTGTGCCGCAGCCAAGAAAACGGCACTAGTGTGAACTGAGGGTTGGGGAAGGAAGCTCTATTCCCCACTCTAAAGCTTAGTACACACAATGAGATTGTTGGATGAATGACCTTCTGTTTTTTTAGGGGGGCTTTTTTTTGTATGCAATCTCATATCGAAAATGAAGAGGTTACTAGAGTTACGAAAATTCTTGTAAGACAGAATACAACTTCCCGCAATGATATAATGTATCCTTTCATTTCCAAGCATGAGCAATCTTGGTCACTTGATTTTTTATGGACTGTAATGATTAAATGAAAATCAATCATTCTGTTATCTTACAAGAAAAAAAAATGTCATGCCTGTCTCTTTAGATAATTTTGCATGAACTGTCGTGATCGGCTCTCGAAAGCTGTGTACTAACAATCAGATCATTGGACGACCACACAGAAAAACTTTTTTTTTCTTCCGATTTTCTCATCATGTGTACTAGGCTTAAGTCTGAACCTCAAAATGATTATTCTTGTACTCCACTTTAATAATAATGATCCATAGATTTCACAGACAGTGGATAACAAGACAATAAAGAAAAGTATTTTCTATCCATCTGAACAGCTGCTAAATGTACTCTTCAATCCATAATAAAAAAGTGAATTATCACAGTCTTAATGCTGGCTTAGTTTTTATAAATGTGACTTTTTTTTTTCAATCCTAAAAATGCTACTTTTATTTTTCTAGAGTATTTCACAAAAGAAAAAAAAAAAAAATTGTAAAATTGTTAACCTATAATTTCCTTCCAAACCTAGCATTTACACCGAACACTACTTAACCACATAAAATGTAGTACTCACCTATACAGCCCATCATCAATTTCCATTGAGTCTGCAGCCATTCTGACTTTTCACACCCCTGCTCTGCAAAACATTGACATTAAGAGGCAGTGAGATAACTGCATGGTCATACTGAGGCCTGAACCTCTATTACCAACATAGATCTAGAAACAAATTTTGACTGCAACCTATGTATTTTGTTATATTAAACAACCCTAATAAGAAGCCACTGACATAAGTGTCACAAAATAACATCATTCTTCTATTTAAATATTAACTATTTGAGAAAAATATTTTTTTTATATAAAACTAACATTCCTATATATCATTTTGCCAGAATGAATTCACAGCAATTATGCAGATTTTAAAAAGAAATAACAATAAGTATAAATAATAATAGTCATCACTGCCTTCTTAAAAATGTATTCATGTCATCAGGTTTCATTGCAAATCAAAAATCAGTCATTTTTTTCTTTAATGGAGACAATAGGTAAAATCACGCACATCATTTCCCAATGCCCTTTTGGAACGTACATCTACATACAACAACCTAAAGCTCACCACACATGGTGTTGTGTGGTGAGTACAATCTTTATATTTACCAAAAACTATGTAATGTAAGGCCTGATTGGGTATAACTGGATTAGCTAGATCTTCATATTGCACAGTTTTGGTAAATCTTAATTTGATTTCACAAAGCTTGTATGGCCAGATTGTAATGTGTATGGTGACCCTTAGGCTTGTTAACCTTTGTCAGTACAAGCCATGGCTTCCATGGAATGGGACTTGGGAAGTAAGAAGACTATATAACCAATCAGATTATGGTGAGGTGGGCATCTGTGTGCATCCAGGGCTGGAGATGAGCAATACTGCCAACACAACACGTAGCATATAAGGCTAGCCTCACATATATACTTGTTGGGTACGCATGCAAAACTGCAAACTTTCCCTACATGCACTGCCCTTTAGCAGACATGTGGCAGTGCCATTAATTGTGAATGGCACCCCCACACATCTGTAATCGCATGCATTTTCACACACGTCATGCTGCGGTACCATGTGGTTTGGTGCGGAACATTTTTGGATTTTTCTGCGTTTCTTCTGCATGAGGCAGCCCATTGAAATGAATAGGCTGCCCTATTATACAAGATTTATATAGTGCCAACAGTTGTGCAGCGCTTTACAATTGAAAGGAAGGTATTACAGTTACAATACAATTTAAAAAAAAAAAAAAAAAAAAAAAAAAAAAAAAAAGAGGGCCCTGCTCCTGGGAGCTTACACTCTATTAGGGTGGGGCAAGCAGTAGAAAATATAACAACTGTGAGGGATGAACTGATGAAAGAATGGAAAGATTCAGTTGTTAGGTGGAGTCGCTATAGGCTTCCCTAAAGAGATGCGTTTTCAGGAAACATCTAAAAAGGTGGATATCTCTACATCATGGTCCATTATGACATTATTATTATTATACAGGATTTATATAGCGCCAACAGTTTGCACAGCGCTTTACAAAATGAAGGTAGACAATACAGTTACAATACAATTTGGTACAAGAGGAAACAGAGGGTCCTGCTCGTTAGAGCTTACAATCTAGAAGGAAGGGTTGAGTGATACAAAAGGTAATAGCTGTGGGGGATGAGCTGATGGAGGAAAAACTGTAAAAGGCAGTTTACTAGTTAGAAGCAGGATAGGCTTCTTTAAAGAGAAAGGTTTTCAGGGATTGTCTAAAGATGGATAGAATAGGAGATAGCCAGACAGATTGGGGTAGGGAGTTCCAGAGGAAAGTAGATCTGGAGAATTCCTGGAGACAAGCATGGGAGGGGGAGACAAGAAAGCTTGAGAGCAGGAGGTCTTGGGAAAAGCAGAAAGGAAGGTTTGGATGATGTATAAAACAAGATTGCTGATGTAGCTAGGGGGAAGATTTGTGAATGGCTTTGTATGTTGTTGTTAGTATTTTGAATTGAATTCGTTGGGCAATCAAAAGCCAGAGGATGGACTGGCAGAGAGGGGAGACAGACAATTAGCAAGAGATAACAAGGAAAACTCCACCGCAGCAGGTATTGGCCCACTGAGATGAATCAAATACCTGTTACCCCTGCCATATGCTATGATTTCTCCTGTTGCTTGTATGTCCTCCTGGCAGGAGGAACCACAGCGCACAGAGGGGAAGTAAGTATTCTACTCACATCGTGAAATATTATATAATAAAGAATTAGTATAAAAGCAGCCCTAAATAAAATGAAGTCAGATGGGACCTTTGAAGCAGCATCTTACACTTTTATAAAGTCATATTGAAAGATTAGCCATACTTCTGGTTGCTTTTTGGTGTTACTGAAAAAAAAAAAAAATCTCTGTGTAGCAGGACCACACACAGCTTTCTATTAACACAGCACAGTGTTTACTCACCACAGTATTTTTTTTCTTTAATGGCCAGTTCACACCACAAAAAACGCACCCCGGAAGTATTCTGGATACGTTTTTGCTTACAGTTCACACCACACGCAGTCCTGGTGCAGTTTGCCATGTTCCAGTATGGCTCTGTGCAGTAAAAATGTAGCATGTTGTACTTTCTTTTTCTGCACCAGAAACTGACTGGAACTGACTGCACTGGTGTGAACTTGGGCCATTGGAATACATGGAAAACACTGTGCATGCATTTTTGATGCAGACAAAAAAAAAAAAGCACCGGACTGCATCTAGTGTGAACTAGCCATTAAAGTAGAACTTCACCCATAACAACTTGATAAAAAATAATGTTCTTTAGTAAAGAACATACAATAATTATGCTACTAAAATTAGTTTATGCTGTAAATTGCTTCCGGCATTGTTCCCGTTTCTTCTTGCTGGTGGCTGCCATTTTGCTGAAGCCCACAGCCCTAAACTACAGTAAATCTTTATGCTCTCAGTAGATCGGTTTCTGAATTTCCAGCACAGTGCCAAAAATTAGAAAGCAACTGAGCATGTGCAGAGCAGGGTGAGACAATGAATTACTGGATTTTCAATAGTATAGGCACTTATTTTTAATGTTTTACATAGCTATACCTGCAAATGGGGCAGCATAAAGTTACCTAGGAGGACTTAGCTTTTTGACTAAAGTTCTACTTCAAAGACTCATTCACACCTAATTTAGAGACTTTGTGCACTGTGATGTGATGAGCTGTGATAAAATGTAGACATTCTACAATTTATCACAGCGTAGGTACTGCATGTCACTACACAGCAGCACAATGCACAACGCTGCTGTGAGGTCACATGAATGAAGTGTCACATTGTGCATTTCAAATAAAGCTGACAAAGAAAAAAAAAAAAAGAGAACACAACTGTGTGATGCGCTGAAAAGCACATCCTACTGCCCCCTCACTGGAGCTAAAACTGTGCAGACAGTGTGAACAGGCCTTCAATTCTCAATTATCAAAACACTTGTATGACAGTTTATTGTGAAGATAATATTAAACCTGAAGCTTAGGTATGGGTAGTTTTTTTTTTTTTGCATTGTTACATTGGCTCAGGTTGGATCAATGAAAGTGCGATACCAGTGCGATCCCTGGAGAATCTGCAAACACTGTAGTAGACACTGCTACTTAAGCAATCCATTATCTTCTAGGTCCCATGCCGAGTGGCTGCCCTGCTGCATTGTGAACACAAAGGGTCACTTACTTGGCACAAGCACCATTCACAGAACGCCTTGCATGGTGTTCTATGATCAGACAAGGTGGAACGGCAGGTCACAATCTCCACCTCATCTAATCAGAGAATGCTTTTCATTCGTTAAGAAAAAATACAAGGTGCTCTGTGAATGGAGCTCATGCTGAGCTTGAGCTCAACACTATGCAGTCGCTTAGAGAAGGACCTTGAAGATAGCAGTGATCAATGTAGCAGCAGAGCCTATTTAAGTGATCTTCACCTTCCACAGGGATCCTGCAGGTATAGCATATGCATACTTAAGCAGACCATAGACGGGCCGTTTATCGGCCAAATTGTCGGCTGATAAATGAAAAAACGGTCAGCCCCGTTGCCGATGCTGCCACCAATGTCTACGAAAAACGGCAGTTTTTTTGTGGATTTTCCAGCATGACCGATAAAAATAAATGAGATCCGCAAAAAGCGGCTGACAGGCTGGCCCCACTAACGGCGTGAATATCGGCTGATTTTTCGTGCGGACGAACAGTCGGCCGATAAACGACCGGTCTATGGCCTGCATTACATTGGTCCAAGCTGTAAAAAAAACCATACCTAAATTTCATATTCACCCTACCTCACAAGCATGAGTATCCCTTAAATTGAAAAATGCCCTTGCTATAGGTGTTGACCATTTGTGTACTTTACAAAACCTGACTGAAAAACTACCAGAGACTGTATCTCCCCATCCTGCCTTGTTGCTAGTAGAGACTCCCAGCTGCTACTACTCACCTTCACTGTCACAGGAGTAAGCTCTTGCTCTGATTCAAACACCATTACATGTGCTTTCACTCCCATGATGCAGTAGCTCTGAGCTCAATGTTTGAGAGCTCTCTCCCATGACAGTGAAGGTGAACAGTAAGAGCTAGGAGTCTCTTAGCAACATCCTAGCAACAAAGCAGGATGAGATGCTACGACCCCCTGGGAGTTTTTCAGTCAGGCTTTGTGAGATATGTAAATGGCCTACAACTGTAGCAAGGGCATTGTTCAACTTTGTCATAGTTGTCCAGTTTGTTTTTATCTATAGACACCACTTACAGACACTGACAGTTTCTGTAAAGGTGAACCATGTCTCTAAATTGGTCCTCTAGTTGGGGATAGGAGTGAAGCGCTATCATCAGTATGTTGCCATGGACAGGTGCCAGGAAAGACGCTTATACTAGTATTTAGTCAATTCTATGTACATTTAGGGTATAACATGTAACTTGGTGTCCCAGTGGACCCCCCCATTAATATTCAGGGCTTCTTCACGCAGCATTTGGTTATGAATAAGCACAAAACCATGTGAAATGCGTTAACAGGTCCTGTATTCATTTCCTAATGTTTTTTGTGTGTCCTATGGATCAATAAATATACCCTATATTTATCAATCCTCCGGTGTGCGGCT